GGGTCCAGTCTGTACACCCTCACCACTGTGTCGCGCTACACCCCTTTGTCTCCTCAGCTGTACGCGTCTGCCCAGGTAGCTACCCAGTGTGAGTGTCGCCGCCTGTCGCACGACACTCTCCTGTGGCACCACCGCCTTGGTCACCCCTCCCTGCCCCGCCTTCGTGGCATGCACTCTCGCTTCCTGGTCTCTGGTCTTCCCAGGTCTCTGCCTGCCCTTCCTCCCTCGCCTGCGCCGCCCTGCATTCCTTGCGTCGAGGGGCGGCAGCGCGCCGCTCCTCACTCCTCCTCGTTCCCTCCCATAGAGGCTCGGCGCGAGCGGTACTTCCTGCTGGTCGTCGACGACTACTCGCGTTACACCACGGTCTTCCCCTTGCGCAGCAAGGGTCAGGTCCCTGATGTTCTGATCCCCTAGATCCGCGCTGTTCGTCTCCAGCTCCGCGAGCGGTTCCAGTCGGAATTTCCTGTCCTGCGTCTACACTCTGACAGAGGTGGTGAGTTCACCTCCGACCTCTTGCGAGCTTTCTGTGAGGAGCACGGCATCCGCCAGTCGTTCACGCTTCCAGCCTCTCCGCAGCAGAATGGGGTTGCTGAGCGCCGCATTGGCTTAGTCATGGAGGTCGCTCGTACCTCCATGATCCATGCGGCTGCCCCCCATTTTCTGTGGCCGTTTGTGGTCCGGTACGCCGCGCATCAGCTCAACCTCTGGCCCCGTGTCTCCTTGCCGGAGACCTCGCCCACACTGCTGTGGACGGGGGAGGTTGGCGATGCGTCGCGCTTCCGGGTCTGGGGTGCTCGTGCCTTTGTCCGCGATCTCACCGCGGACAAGCTCTCTGCTCGCGCGATTCCCTGTGTCTTCCTTGGCTTTCCTCCTGACGCGCCTGGCTGGCAGTTTTACGACCCCGCCTCGCGCCGTGTCTTTGCGTCCCAGGACGTCACCTTTGACGAGTCGGTCCCTTTTTACCATCTCTTCCCCTACCGCACTGCCCCTCTTCCCCCCCCGCCGCTCTTTCTCGCTCCAGGTCCTCCCCAGGTAGACCCCCTCCCCGCTCCAGGTCCTGCTCCTTCAGGTGTGTCTCAGGTAGACCCTCCTCCCTTGACTGAGCCGGTTGAGGTCACAGGTGAATCAGGTTCTGCTGAGGGTGGTCCCGCTCTGCGTGCTGGGCTTGGCGGTACTTTGTCTGCACGAGGTGCTGGTACTGGAGGTGCTGGCGCTGGAGGTTCTGGAGTTGCTGGAGGTTCTGGAGCTGCTGGGGGTGCTGCGCCTGGGGGTACTGAGGCTGCTGGTGAGCAGTCTCCTTGGAGCGGCCGCCTACGTAGTCGCTCCGCTGGTGCCTCGCCGCGGCCTCTCTCACCACAGCAGCTGCGTGAGTGGTACACTCGCCGTCAGGGTCGCGCGGCTGGAGCTGGGGGTGCCACTTCTGCGGGTGCCGAGTCCGTGCGTCCTGAGCCTGGAGGGGCTCGTACTGGAGTTACTGTGCCTGGGAGTGCGAGGTCTGGGGGTGCTGAGCCTGAGCGTGAGGAGCCTGAGGGTGCTGAGCCTGGAGGTGCTGAGCCTGAGCGTGAGGAGACTGGAGGTACTGCGCCTGGGGGTGCTGCGTCTGGGGGTGCTGAGCCTGAGCGTGAGGAGCCTGGGGGTGCTGAGTCTGGGGGTGCGGCGCCTGAGGGTACTGCGACTGCTGGTGCGCGGTCTCCTTGGAGTGGCCGCCTTCGTCCGCGTACGCCTCTCACCTCACAGCAGCTGCACGAGTGGTACGGTCGCCGTCAGGGTCGCGCTGCTGGAGCTCGGGGCTCTGCAGCTGGAGGTGCTTCTGCTGACGTCGCTGGAGCTAGGAGTGGTGCTGGTACTTTGTCTACTGGAGGTGCTGGAGTTGCTGGTCCCGGAGGTGCTCGTACTGGAGGTACTGGAGCTGCTGGGACTGGAGGTGCTGCGTCTGGGGGTGCTGCTGCTGGAGACACTGAGGCTGGGGACCCTGGGACTGGAGGTGTCGGTTCTGGGGGTGCTGCTGCTGGAGACACTGCGGCTGGAGACCCTGGGACTGGAGGTGCCGGTTTTGTGGGTGCTGCTACTGGTGGTGCTGGTCCTGGAGGTGCTGGCGTTGGAGGGTCTGGAGCTGCTGGGGGTGCTGGAGCTGCTGGTGGTGCTGGAGTTGATGGAGGTGCTGGAGCTGTTGGTGCTGGTGGCATGGCACAGCCGCGTCTATTCTTTGCTCCGCCGTCTCCGTCGTCTCAGCCACCGCCTGACACTGTACTTCGCCAGGTTCTTAGCCTCCCATCTTCTACTGGTCTTCCGTTACAGCCTGGCTCCCCGCTGCCTGCTCCTTCTCCTTACACCGAGCAGACAGGGGGTCTTGCTGAGCGTCGTGAGCCTGCGTCGCATCCTGTCTCGCCTGTTCGTTCTGGTCGCACCAGACGTCGTGTTCCTCGTCCGCGTTCGCCGGCTGTCCCCGGCGCGCACCTCGTTGTCCGTCGTCCTTCCTCTGGTCCGCAGCATGCTACTCTGCCATCTCCTCCTGCGTCCTCTCTGCCTGACGTTCCGGACCCTGAGTCTGACCGGTTTCGTGTTGAGCACCCTACTGTCACGCGTCTGTTAGCCACTGTTGTTACTGACCCGTCGTTTGAGTCTGCTGCTGCGTCTGCCTTGGTCGCTGAGCTTGTGGACTTTGCTGCTGCCTGTCGTCTAGACTACGCTGCTAGTCTTGTTGCTGAGTCTGCGTCTGTCTGTCCTCCGTCCGTCGGGGGTGAGTGTGCTCTTGGTACGGACGTCCTTGAGGACAGACAGGAGGACCTTGAGTGTCTTGCGGCCGCTGCGCCTCATCTCGTGGCCATGCTGCTTGCCCCTAAGGGAGACCCGGATGCTATAGACATCCCCACACCGCGCTCTTACGCTGAGGCGATCGCAGGTCCCTACTCCTCTCAGTGGCAGACAGCCATGGACGCAGAGATGGCATCCTAGAAGTCCACAGGCACTTACGTCGATGAGGTTCCCCCTCCTGGGGCGAACATCGTCGATGGCATGTGGATTTTCAGGGTGAAGCGGCCGCCGGGTTCTCCGCCTGTCTTCAAGGCTCGTTACGTTGCACGAGGCTTCAGTCAGCGAGAGGGAGTTGACTTCTTCCAGACCTTCTCCCCCACCCCGAAGATGACTACTCTTTGGGTGCTGCTGCACGTTGCCGCTCAGCGTGACTACGAGCTTCACTCTCTGGACTTTAGCACAGCCTTCTTACAGGGTAGCCTGCACGAGGAGATCTGGCTGCGCCGCCCACCTGGCTTCACTGGGACGTTCCCTCCTGGTACCCAGTGGAGCCTCCGGCGGCCAGTCTACGGTCTCCGCCAGGCGCCTCGTGAGTGGCACGACACACTGAGGACAACACTTGCGGCACTTGGGTTTGCTCCTTCGACAGCTGACCCGTCGCTATTTCTGCGCACCGACACTTCGCTGCCGTCGTTCGTGTACGTCGACGACTTAGTCTTTGCCACTGCTGACACTGAGGCTCTCGCCCTGGTGAAGTCGGAGCTGTAGAAGAGACACACGTGCACAGACCTGGGTGAGCTGCACAGTTACCTTGGCTTGCAGATCACCCGGGACCGAGCACGCCACACCATCACACTGACTCAGTCACACATGGTGCAGCAGGTCCTTCAGCGCTTCGGCTTCACCTGGTCCTCGCCACAGTCCACTCCTCTGGCTTTAGGTCACTCGCTCTCAGCTCCACCTTCGGACGAGTCCGTAGAGCCGAGTGGTCCTTACCCAGAGCTAGTGGGCTGCCTCATGTACCTGATGACCTGCACTCGTCCTGACCTTGCGTACCCTCTTGGCCTTCTGGCTCGCTACGTGGCTCCTGGTCGGCACTGAAAGGTGCACATGGATGCTGCAAAGAGGGTACTGTGCTGCTTGTGCAGTACATCGGGCATGGGGCTCGTGCTTGGAGGGCGGAGTCCAGTTGTCCTCACTGGGCACTCAGACGCTTCTTGGGTTGACGACCTGGCTACGCAGCGGTCGTCACAGGGTTACACCTTCAGCCTTGGCTCTGGCTCTGTTTCTTGGCGGTCTACTCGCTCCTCTTCTGTTCTCGGCTCCAGTTGTGAGGCTGAGATCTACGCCACAGCCATGGCTGCACAGGAGTTACGCTGGCTCACCTACCTGCTGACTGACTTGGGAGAGAGGCCTCGTTCTCCTCCAGTTCTGTACGTCGACAACAAGGCTGCCATTGCCTTGTGTCAGGAGCACAGAATGAAGCACATCGCTCTGCGTTACTTCCTGGCTCGAGAGTTGCAGCAGCGTGGTCAGCTTCGTCTTGCTCACGTGGCCACTCAGGCCAACACTGCTGATATATTCACCAAGGCACTTCCGTCTGGTGACCATCAGCGCTTTTGTACTTTGTTGGGCCTTGTGCCTACGTTTCCACACTTGCTGTAGACTCTGCTTGTACTGTGATCCATATATATATATCTGCATGCTTGCTCTTGCTAGGTAGTGATCACTGTACTGTTGTTGTTGCATATATGTCTCTCCACGTGAACTAGCCTTGTGGCCCTTTGCTTGTGCTCAGTGTGTGGTGACGTTGTGATCCACCTTGAGCTTGCTTTGATTTTCTTGACTGGTCTTATGACCCCTTGTTCTCCCCCACTTTGCCTATAGGGGTGTGTCAAACTATATGCATGCTATATTTGTGTAGGCTGTAGTGGGGTAGCCAATATGGGGTACAACCCCTTTAGGGTTTGATACTTGTACCCAACTCTCATTCAATGCATTCATTCCTGCCTAGCTATTCTGACAAAAGTCATGTGTGCAAACGGCTTATCACCTAACAAGGCAGAGTACTGAATGTAGCAACGGAAACGATGATTCTTAGGAGTCATAGGTTGACCTTCAGAGTCCTTATCCGTGTTTTTTCCCAAGCACACTCTCAATATGCTCGCCACACCGAGCCATTGGCGGGCCCATTTGTGAAGAACATGATACTGCTTGGCATGATGTTCCTCAAACTGAGAAATGGACTAACTATCTTTTGCATATTGAACCTGTGGGGGCAATCCTGTTGGTCGCACAACTCTTCGCTCACGAACCCTTGGAGTGGGATGCGTTGTGCTAGCGGCAACCGAACGAGTATGGGCGGAAATGGCACCGGTACTTGCCGTGGTCATCAACCCCTGCACACGTCGTCGACCTCTGTCCTGCTCATCATCCTCGGATCCCTCCTCCCCAACCCTGAATCCAAGCGTCAGCCTTTGCCGAGGAGTACGCCGCCATGATGACATGGCTGATGAGGTGTGTCGTAAGGGGGGGGGGGGGGAGAGAGGGGGAGAAGAGAAGCAGAGGGGAAAAAAGAGTGGAGGTGGGAAAGTTGAGAAGATGGGGAAAGAGGAGCAGAGGGTGGAAATAGGGGAAGCAGGCGGGGAAATGGTGGGAAGCAGGGGGGGAGATGAGGGAGGAGGAGAAGGAGTGACAGGAGGAGGAGAAGGCATGGCGGGAGGAGGAGAGGGGGTGGCGGGAGGAGAAGGCATGGCGGGAGGAGAAGAAGGCATGGTGGGAGGAGGAGAAGGCATGGTGGGAGGAGGAGAAGGCATAGTGGGAGGAGAAGGCATGGTGGGAGGAGGAGAGGGGATGGCGGGAGGAGGAGAAGGCATGGTGGGAGGAGAAGGGATGGCGGGGGGAGGAGAAGGCATGGTGGGAGGAGGAGAGGGGATGGCGGGAGGAGGAGAAGGCATGGTGGGAGGAGAAGGGATGGCGGGGGGAGGAGAAGGCATGGTGGGAGGAGGAGAAGGCATGGTGGGAGGAGGAGAGGGGATGGCAGAGGAGGAGAAGGCATGGTGGGAGGAGGAGAAGGCATGGTGGGAGGAGGAGAAGGCATGGTGGGAGGAGGAGAGGGGGTGGCGGGAGGAGGAGAAGGCATGGTGGGAGGAGAAGGGATGGCGGGAGGAGGAGAAGGCATGGTGGGAGGAGGAGAGGGGATGGCGGAGGAGGAGAAGGCATGGTGGGAGGAGAAGGGATGGCAGGAAGAGGAGAAGGCATGGTGGGAGGAGAAGGCATGGCGGGAGGAGGAGAAGGCATGGTGGGAGGAGGAGAAGGCATGGTGGGAGGAGAAGGGATGGCGGGAGGAGGAGAAGGCATGGTGAGAGGAGGAGAGGGGGTGGCGGAGAAGGAGAAGGCATGGTGGGAGGAGGAGAGGGGTGGCGGGAGGAGAAGGCATGGCGGGAGGAGGAGAAGGCATGGTGGGAGGAGAAGGGATGGCGGGAGGAGGAGAAGGCATGGTGAGAGGAGGAGAAGGCATGGTGGGAGGAGGAGAAGGCATGGTGGGAGGAGAAGGGATGGTGGGAGGAGGAGAAGGCATGGTGGGAGGAGGAGAGGGGGTGGTGGGAGGAGGAGAAGGCATGGTGGGAGGAGGAGAGGGGGTGGCGGGAGGAGGAGAAGGCATGGTGGGAGGAGGAGAGGGGGTGGCGGGAGGAGGAGAAGGCATAGTGGGAGGAGGAGAGGGGGTGGTGGGAGGAGTAGAAGGCATAGTGGGAGGAGAAGAGGTGGCGGGAGGAGGAGAGGGGATGGCAGGAGGAGAAGGCATGGTGGGAGGAGGAGAAGGGACGGTGTGGTATGGAGAGGGAAGGAAAGGGTTGGCAAATGAGGGCAAGCAGGGGAGGGCAAGGAGGGGGAGAAATGCGATCGTGCAAGGGGGAAAAGGAGGCGTACAAGGGAGAAAATGAGGGCGTGCAAGGTGGGGAAACGAGGGCAAGCAGGGAGGGAAAACGAGGGCGTACAGGTGGGGAAGTGAGGGCGTTCAAGGGGGGTTTTTGAGGGCGTGCAGCGGGGATGCGGAATTTCAGCCGTTGCAAGAGAGTGAGAGAGGGCCTTCTTCGAGTGGAGAGGAGAGCGCGGGGCAGTGAGAGGAGAGCGCAGGGAGGCGAGAGTCGCACGCGCGGGGCAGCGAGAGGAGAGCGCGGGAAGGCGAGAGCCGCACGCGCAGGGCAGCGAGAGGAGAGCGCGGGGAGGCGAGAGGAGCAGGCGCGGGGAGGCCAGAGGAGGCCGCGCGGGGAGGCGAGAGTCGAGCGCGCGGGGAGGCGTGAAGACGCCGCGCGGGGAAAGCGAGAGGAGAGCGCGGGGATGCGAGAGGAGCACGCGCGGGGAGGCGAGAGGAAAATGCGAACCGCGAGGCGATAGGAGCAGGAAAGAGTAAGGCGAGAGGTTACGGATGCGGGATTTTGGGCGGCAGGGAGGTTCCAGTCGGACAGTGGGAAGGGGAACTCTTGCGGCGAGAAGGGGAGATGGGGTGGCGGGAAGCGGAGGTCTCGCGACGAGCGAGCGATGGTGAGAGACGAGTGAGGTCTTGCTTCCCCCTTCTCACCGCAAATTAAGCTAGTGGATGCAGGGGCGCGTACACACACTCTCGCATCCGTGCGACTGTTGTAAAGGCGTGTCCTCTACCTTGCAGGAACTGGGATCTGCACTAAATGATAGAGCACTCTGCTGGCTTTCCAACGAGCCGTCAAACACACGATTCGCCCAAGTAACGAGGGAGTTCTAGGCTTTTATGTGCTTGCTAGTGCTCTTAGAACAAAGGATAGGAGCTCTCTGGATTTTGTAGTCGAATGTATCACTTACAAAGTGATTCTCAATTTCAGTATGAAACATGCAATACAAAGCAACTAGTTTTATAGCATGCAATCAACATCGAACCGCGTTCGTAACATCGCATCACTACACTTCGCGAATGTTCTCGTAAAATTTCGAAGGGGTGAAATTCGACACTCGAATTTCACTCATTCGAATGTTCCTTCAAGTCCTGAACTTTCTGGTGCTGCCATGTGGAACCCAATTGCTTGGTCTTCCGAAGTCAAACTTCAGCTCCATGCAAAGTTGCAGCTCACTCGAAGGTGAGCTTCATTCGGTGGTTGGGGGCAAACCTCCCCCCCCACGCAACCTCCAACACTCCCCCTTGCACCCAAGCCACTAGAAGTTCAATCCAACACGCTCACAGCATGCACGGAATGAATCCTTAGGGAGTGGTTTGGTGAGGAAGTCTGCAGGTTGAGCTTTGGTGCTTACGTAAGTGAGTTTGACCTCACCCTTCTCAACCGCCTCACGAATGAAGTGATGCTTCACTTCGATATGCTTGGTTCGCCCGTGAAGGACGGCGTTGTGAGAGAGGCTTATGGCGGCTTGGTTGTCACAAAAGAGAGGAGTTGGGTTCGTTTGAGGATGCCCAAGCTCCGCTAGAAGACGTCGTAGCCATATCGCCTCCATGGCACCTTGAGTGAGTGCCATATACTCCGCTTCCGTTGAGCTTAGAGCCACGGTTGGTTGCTTCTTGCTTTGCCAACTCACGGCTGCCCCAAGCAAGGTGTGCCTTGGAGGTAGCGTAGAACGCGTCCTCCCGCACGCACATGTTCGATATGAGGGTTGCTCACGACTCGTCCAAGCACCCCGGCGGCGTATGCGAGGTCGGGACGAGTAGAAACGGCGGCATACATGAGCGAGCCCACTAGCGAATGAAACCGCTTCCCTTCGGCTTCATCGAGGGTGGATTCTTCCTCTCCCGTGAGGCAAGAAAATCCCGTAGCTAGTGGTGTTCCCACCGGTTTGCTATTGCCCATGCCGAAGCTCTCCACTACCCCCTTCACATACTTCTCTTGGTGGAGGTGGATGGTCCCGTTGGCTCGGTCACGGTCGACGTGCATCCCAAGGTAGTATGTGACCGGCCCCAAGTCCCTCATTGCAAACTCCGCCCCTAGCCGTTGCTTGACCTCCCGAATGAGGTCCTTGGAGTCGGAGAAGAGGAGTAAGTCATCGACGTAGAGCAAAAGCATCAATTGCTTCTCCCCCTCCTTCCAAAAGAGGTTCATCTTTGCGCCATCGATGGTGACCTTCACGTCCTTCTTCGTGAGGTGAGTGACGGAGAGTAGATTCACCTTCACTCCCGGGACGTGAAGCACGTTCGTGATGTACACCGGTTCGCCATCGACGATGAGACGCGTACTCCCAACTCCGACCACCGGTAGCGACTTGACGTTTCTGAAGACGACGCGCGTGACGCCTCCCGATGCACCAACGTTGGTGAGGAACGATGCCGAGTGAGTCATGTGTTGTGTTGCGCCTGTGTCAAGGAACCACGCGTCGTTTGGAGTGTTGGTCCCGTCACCGGCCAATAACACGATCGACTCCCTTGTATCATCCGCCTCGCCGGATGCCGTGTGCGCGTTGCCCTCTTGGTTCCGCGCCTTCAATGGAGTCCAATCGCTCGGGCGCTTCCGACACTCTCGCCAAAAGTGTCCCGCTTTGCCGCAATAGTGGCACTTGCTCGTGCCGTTTGATGTGTTCCCCTTGCCGCGATCGCTTCTACCGTACGACTTGGACCCTTGCTCCCTTCTTCGTCGCACCCTTGCTCCACTTGGACTTTCCTCCGGAACTCCCTCCGGAGAACATGGCGGTCTCCACGCTCTCATTAGCGAATTGTCGGCGACGCGATTCCTCATGGAGAAGCCGACCGACCACCGTTTCCTTTGTCCAAGTGTCTTGCACGCTATCGAGTGTCGTTATCACCGTCGACCACTCTTCCGGAAGACCGCAAAGCAAGGTCAAAATCCAATCCTCCTCCGTGACCGTTCCACCGAGGTCTACGAACGTTTCCCCAAGTTCCTCCACACGAGTCGCATACTCGTGCATCGATTCGCCCGCGCGCAACTTCACCGTGTAGAACGCATTCCGGGCTAGGATCTTGCCGTGGAGATTCTTGTTCACGTCCATTGTCTCGAGCCGCTTCCACGCCTCATGCGCCGACGCTTTGAGCTTGATACACGTCCGCACCGAGCTCACGAGGTTGATGCCGATCCGCGAGATTAGCGTAGCGAACGCCTTTTGGTCCTTCTTCTTCCAAGCCGCGATGTCGCTCTCGTCGTCCGGCTTCTTCTCCGTCCCATCGAAGAGACCCCAAAGTCCCCGCTCCATCATGAGCACTTGGAACTTAAACTTCCACGCGGAGTAGTTTTGTCCCGTGAAAATCGGTACCGCCGACGTGTCGTACATCGTCGCAGCTGCCCAGGGTTCGCCGGAATTTACAACGACACCATCCAAGGAAGTGCGGGAGGTCTCGCTTGAAGTGGGCATGCTTGCTCCTCGTCGCTCGCGTAGACTCCTCCGACCAGCTCTGATACCACTGTTGTAAAGGCGTGTCCTCTACCTTGCAGGAACTGGGATCTGCACTAAATGATAGAGCACTCTGCTGGCTTTCCAACGAGCCGTCAAACACACGATTCGCCCAAGTAACGAGGGAGTTCTAGGCTTTTATGTGCTTGCTAGTGCTCTTAGAACAAAGGATAGGAGCTCTCTGGATTTTGTAGTCGAATGTATCACTTACAAAGTGATTCTCAATTTCAGTATGAAACATGCAATACAAAGCAACTAGTTTTATAGCATGCAATCAACATCGAACCGCGTTCGTAACATCGCATCGCTACACTTCGCGAATGTTCTCGTAACATTTCGAAGGGGTGAAATTCGACACTCGAATTTCACTCATTCGAATGTTCCTTCAAGTCCTGAACTTTCTGGTGCTGCCATGTGGCACCGAATTGCTTGGTCTTCCAAAGTCAAACTTCATCTCCATGCAAAGTTGCAGCTCACTCGAAGGTGAGCTTCATTCGGTGGTTGGGGGCAAACCTCCCCCCCCCACGCAACCTCCAACAGCGACGACTCGGAGATAAGGCGCTCGGAACTAGACGAGTATGGCCTTGTTCCGTCGCGAAGCGAGACCGGGCTGCGAGGGTACTCGAGAATGAAACTCCGTCTGTTCAAGCGTGCGCGGAGAAGGATGGTATCGCTTTATCCATATAGTAGGAGTCTTAATTTAGGTATGTGGCGAGGCCTACTTACGACGTGTGATTGTCTTTCCTAGGAACTTGTTATTTGGTAACCACTTTCAAGTTCCTTAGGATCTTGAAAAACCAACTTTCAAAAGTTTCCTGTTGCTTTAATAGTGTAGCTGCTTATGCGATGTCGCGATTCACTAAACAAAGCTTTTAGGGCGTGAAAGATCCCCGTGCATGCATCACCATTCGGCCATCAAAATTAGGTGGCCGTTGCGAAACGCGACGGTGTTTGAAACGCTTGAAAGGCGGTTCAGCGCGGTGGCGTACGATGTTTATGTTAGAATAGTAGCCTTAGGGTTTGGGGTAGCGTGAGCGAGAGAAACAGGAAGGTGAGGTTCACTACAGCAAGGTTACAAGATATAGCAAAGAAAGGTGAGCACATTGGTGCACCACCACTGTAGCTACACTAGAACACACAGCAAGCAGGGTATATAACAAAACTTAACACACCCCCTTAACCTGCTTGCCGTGATAACTAGTACAGGTACACGTGGCGCAGCGGAAGAGGGTAGAGAGGTTAGGAAGGAGGAGGAGGTGAGAGGAGAGGAGAGGAGAGGAGGGAAGAGAGAGAGGGATGAGGAGAGGAGGTGGGGGGCCAGGACCGGCGGACCCGCTTACGAACCTCCGTTTACAAAGGGGGGTTGGGGAGGAGTGAGGGAAAAGGAGAGAAGGTGGGGGGCCAGGAGCGGCGGACCCTCTTAAGAACCTTCAGAAGGTGGGGGGCCAGGAGCGTCGGACCCTCTTAAGAACCTTCAGAACTCAACTCAACTCAACCACCCCCCTTTAACATCACTCCATGAATCTGCCATCCCCCCAATGCTCACCCTCACACTCCAGTCAACTTCACTATCACCACCCCCTCACCTTCTGCACTTCTCTCCCCCCCCCCCCCCCTTCTCTACGGCGACAATCCCTGCAGTAAGAGAGAGGGGAGGGACGGGCTGCAGGCAGCTCACACACGCCACCCACACATCTCCCCCTCCTCCCTCCCCACGACGGAAGCAGCGGAAGGGAGGGCGGGCGGGGGGGCGGGGCGGCGGTAGCTGCTGCTGGCGCTGGCGGTGGCGCTGGCTGGTGCGCAGGCGCGAGCGGCTGGCCGCGGTGGTGGCGTCCGCGCTGACGGGCCACGCTCGCGCTGGCGCCTGCGGTCCGGGCTGGCGCGGGCGCTGGCGTCCATGCAGGTGCTGGCGCCCGCCGGCGCTGGCGTCCGCGGCGACGAAACGGGGGGCCCCGGCGCGTCGAAACGGGTGGCCGCGGGGCGACGAAACGAGGGGGGGCCGCGGGGCGACGAAACGGGGGGGCCGCGGGGCGACGAATCGGGGGCCGCGGGGCGACGAAATGGGGGGCCGCGGGGCGACGAATCAGGGGCCGCGGGGCGACGAAATGGGGGGCCGCGGGGCGACGAATCAGACGGGACGAAGAGCGCGACGGGACGAAGAAAATAGCGCATTTCGCGCTGTTGTACGGGCGGGCCCATAATTCTTAAAAAAAAGGGAAGGTTCCGGGAAAGAACCTGCTCTGTACCATGTTAGAATAGTAGCCTTAGGGTTTGGGGTAGCGTGAGCGAGAGAAACAGGAAGGTGAGGTTCACTACAGCAAGGTTACAAGATATAGCAAAGAAAGGTGAGCACATTGGTGCACCACCACTGTAGCTACACTAGAACACACAGCAAGCAGGGTATATAACAAAACTTAACAGTTTAGGGTTACATTCGCAACGGCCACCAATTTTTGGGTTGCGTAGCAACCCTATACATTTGGTAGCACTTTTCGGTCGTCTCAAATGAACAGTGCAGTTTTTATCATTTTCCCAACGTCCGAACCACTCGTTTGATCGTTTTGATAACGAGTGTTCCAAACGTGTGGAGATGACAGCACTGATACACATGAGTTTCCAAAAAAGTGAAACCAAACGTGGCCAATCATTCCATAATCGTCGATAAATACGGCGAATGGAACAATTGGTCGTCATCAAACACAATGGACAAGAAAAACACCCATTGATCATGAATGCAAATCATGTGCATCCATTCAACACGAGCAAAAACAACACATAACAACTGCGAATGAATGCTTAAGTGCATCGGTGCTACAACAGAGATGGTTCCGGTATGCTAAGGCGAGCAACGCTGCCCCAACAACGATCCCCACCTCAAATGCAGACCCGACACACTTTAACATCACACCTCAGTTGCATAACACGTGCAAAAACAACACGTAACAATAGCGAGAGAATGCTAAAATGCATCGGTGCTACAACAGAGATGGTTCCGTGTTAAGTTTTGTTATATACCCTGCTTGCTGTGTGTTCTAGTGTAGCTACAGTGGTGGTGCACCAATGTGCTCACCTTTCTTTGCTATATCTTGTAACCTTGCTGTAGTGAACCTCACCTTCCTGTTTCTCTCGCTCACGCTACCCCAAACCCTAAGGCTACTATTCTAACATGGTACAGAGCAGGTTCTTTCCCGGAACCTTCCCTTTTTTTAAGAATTATGGGCCCGCCCGTACAACAGCGCGAAATGCGCTATTTTCTTCCTCCCGTCGCGCTCTTCGTCCCGTCTGATTCGTCGCCCCGCGGCCCCCCATTTCGTCGCCCCGCGGCCCCTGATTCGTCGCCCCGCGGCCCCCAATTTCGTCGCCCCGCGGCCCCCGATTCGTCGCCCCGCGGCCCCCCCGTTTCGTCGCCCCGCGGCCCCCCCTCGTTTCGTCGCCCCGCGGCCACCCGTTTCGACGCGCCGGGGCCCCCCGTTTCGTCGCCGCGGACGCCAGCGCCGGCGGGCGCCAGCACCTGCATGGAACGTCGCCAGCGCCCGCGCCAGCCCGGACCGCAGGCGCCAGCGCGAGCGTGGCCCGTCAGCGCGGACGCCAGCACCGCGGCCAGCCGCTCGCGCCTGCGCACCAGCCAGCGCCACCGCCAGCGCCAGCAGCAGCTACCGCCGCCCCGCCCCCCCGCCCGCCCTCCCTTCCGCTGCTTCCGTCGTGGGGAGGGAGGAGGGGGAGATGTGTGGGTGGCGTGTGTGAGCTGCCTGCAGCCCGTCCCTCCCCTCTCTCTTACTGCAGGGATTGTCGCCGTAGAGAAGGGGGGGGGGGGGGGGGGGGAGAGAAGTGCAGAAGGTGAGGGGGTGGTGATAGTGAAGTTGACTGGAGTGTGAGGGTGAGCATTGGGGGGATGGCAGATTCATGGAGTGAGGTTAAAGGGGGGTGGTTGAGTTGAGTTGAGTTCTGAAGGTTCTTAAGAGGGTCCGCCGCTCTTGGCCCCCCACCTTCTGAAGGTTCTTAAGAGGGTCCGCCGCTCCTGGCCCCCCACCTTCTCTCCTTTTCCCTCACTCCTCCCCAACCCCCCTTTGTAAAAGGAGGTTCGTAAGCGGGTCCGCCGCTCCTGGCCCCCCACCTCTCCTCATCCCTCTCTCTCTTCTCCTCTCCTCTCCTCTCCTCTCACCTCCTCCTCCTTCCTAACCTCTCTACCCTCTTCCGCTGCGCCACGTGTACCTGTACTAGTTATCACGGCAAGCAGGTTAAGGGGGTGTGTTAAGTTTTGTTATATACCCTGCTTGCTGTGTGTTCTAGTGTAGCTACAGTGGTGGTGCACCAATGTGCTCACCTTTCTTTGCTATATCTTGTAACCTTGCTGTAGTGAACCTCACCTTCCTGTTTCTCTCGCTCACGCTACCCCAAACCCTAAGGCTACTATTCTAACATTCCGGTATGCTAAGGCGAGCAACGCTGCCCCAACAACGATCCCCACCTCAAATGTAGACCCGACACACTTTATCATCACACGTCAGTTGCACACACGAGACAGACAGGTGCAAACAGACAAATGCACATATCGATGCAAACAACCACAGATGGATACAGAGACCGCAATAAACACGCAACCGTCATGAATAAAATTCAGAAATGCAAAAATAATTGCTAGCCTATCCCACCTTACCCTCCTTACAACCCTCCTTCCCTCCTTCCCTCATCTCCATCCCACTCCCTCCCTCATCTCCCTTCTCAGCTCACGTGCCCTGCACAAAGCAAAAACAGAGAAGTCAACACAAACATGCCCTGCACAAAGCAAAAACAGAGAAGTCAACACAAACATGCCCTGCACAAAGCAAAACAGAGGAGTCAACACAAACACGTCCTGCACAAAGCAAAAACAGAGGAGTCAACACACACGCCCTGCACAAAGCAAAAACAGAGGAGTCAACACAAACACGCCCTGCACAAAGCAAAAACAGGGAAGTCAACACAAACATGCCCTGCACAAAGCAAAAACAGAGGAGTCAACACAAACACGTCCTGCACAAAGCAAAAACAGAGGAGTCAACACACACGCCCTGCACAAAGCAAAAACAGAGGAGTCAACACAAACACGCCCTGCACAAAGCAAAAACAGAGGAGTCAACACAAACACGCCCTGCACAAAGCAAAAACAGAGGAGTCAACACAAACACGCCCTGCACAAAGCAAAAACAGAGGAGTCAACACAAACACGCCCTGCACAAAGCAAAAACAGGGAAGTCAACACAAACACGCCCTGCACAAAGCAAAAACAGAGGAGTCAACACACACGCCCTGCACAAGAAAGCCAAAACAGAGAAAGCAACAGCACACCTTGCCCAAAAAACAGTGTATGATCACACACTGTACAAGAAAGCGAAAAGGCCAAAGGCCATAACGCTAGCGCTTCAGGCGCGGCACATTAGGTGCCATGCCAGCGCCCAAGCGTTAGAGCGCGCTGCGCGAGCGTGCTTGGCACTTGCTCGCTAGTTGCCAGCGGCCTAGACGAGTGTCTGAGGCGTCAACACCTTAGAAGCCGGCACTCTAAGCGCTTGTGCAGAAAATCGACACTCATTTGTATAAGTAGCCCTAGTTGCCCAAGCACCAGCAGAATAGATGCTAGTGCCTACGCCTCAGCATGCTCATTCGCTCTTTCACGAGCTCTCTCACGCGCTCTTTCGCGCGCTCTCTCATGCACTCTCTCACGCGCTCCCTCACGCGCTCTCTCACGCGCTCCCTCACGCGCAATCTCAGGCACACTCTCATGCGCTCTCTCTCGCGCACTCTCACGCGCATTCTCTCTCACGCGCTTTTCCACGCGCTCACTCACGCGCTCTCTCAAGCGATCTCTCACGCACACTCTCACGCGCACTCTCACGCTCTCACACGCACTCCCTCACGCGCTCTCTCACGCGCTCCCTCACGCGCACACTCACGCGCCCACTCACGCGCTCTCTCACGCGCTCTCTCACGTGCACTCTCAGGCACACTCTCACGCGCATTCTCTCTCGCGCACTCTCACGCGCATTCTCTCTCTCACGCGCTCTCTCACGCGCTCCCTCACGCTCTCACACGCGCTCTCTCACATGCTCTCTCATACGCAATCTCACGCGCTCTCACACGCGCTCTCTCATGCACACTCTCACGCGCACTTTCACGCGCTCTCTCACATGCTCTCTCATACGCAATCTCACGTGCTCTCACACGCGCTCTCTCATGCACTCTCACGCGCTCTCTCACGCGCTCTCTCACATGCTCTCTCATACACAATCTCACGCGCTCTCACACGCGCTCTCTCATGCACACTCTCACGCGCTCTCTCACGCGCTCTCTCACGCGCTCTCTCACGCGCTCCCTCACGCGCTCTCTCACGCGCTCTCTCACGCGCTCTCTCACGCTCTCACACGCGCTCTCTCACATGCTCTCTCATACGCAATCTCACGCGCTCTCACACGTGCTCTCTCATGCGCTCTCTCACGCGTTCTCTCACGCGCTTCCTCACGCCCTCTCCTGTGCTCTCTCACGCGCACTCTCAGGCACACTCTCACGCGCTCTCTCTCGCGCACTCTCACGCGCATTCTCTCTCACGCTCTTTTCCACGCGCTCTCTCACGCGCTCTCTCACGCGCTCTCTCACGCACACTCTCACGCGCACTCTCACGCTCTCACATGCACTCCCTCACGCGCTCTCTCACGCGCTCTCTCACGCCCACACTCACACGCTCTCTCACGCGCATACTCGCGCGCTCTCTCACGTGCTCTCTCACGTGCACTCTCAGGCACACTCTCACGCGCACTCTCACGCGCACTCTCACGCGCATTTTCTCTCTCACGCGCATTTTCTCTCTCACGCGCTCTCTCACGCGCTCTCTCACGCGCTCTCTCCTGCGCTCTCTCCTGCGCATTCGCTCCCATGCACACGCTCTCCCTCGAGATCTCTCACGCGCTCTCTCATGCACACTCTCACGCGCACTCTCACGCGCTCTCTCACATGCTCTCTCCTGCACACTCTCACGCGCTCTATCACGCGCTCCCTCACGCGCTCCCTCACGCGCACCCTCACGCGCTCTCTCACGCGCCCTCTCACGCTCTCACACGCGCCCTCTCACATGCTCTCTCATACACAATCTCACGCGCTCTCACACGCGCTCTCACACGCGCTCTCTCATGCGATCTCTCACGCGCTCTCTCACATGCTCTCTCACATGCTCTCTCATGCGCACCCTCACGCGCTCTCTCACGCGCTCTCTCACGCGCTCTCTCACGCGTTCTCTCGCGCGCTCTCACGCGCTCTCTCACGCGCTCTCTCCTGCGCGTTCGCTCCCGTGCACACGCTCTCCCTCGCGCTTCGTCTCTCCCCTTCGTCAAATGAAAGTGCAAGCAAGAGGAGACCAATTAACACAGGGCAAAAAAAAAGGGAATTTCAGAGGGGGGAAGGAGGATGAAAGAACCGGGAACGCACCTGATAACCACGATGCCTCAGAAAACAACCCGCGCTGGCGCACCTACCCGCGCTCCGCGCACCAACCCGCGCTTGCGCTCATGCACCTGTCGCCGGAGGCGATGGCGGAGAGGGAAGGAGAGGCGACGGCGGGGAGGGAAGGAGAGGCGACGGCGGGGAGGAGGGAGAGGCGACGGCGGAGAGGAGGGAGAGGCGACGTGGGGAGGAGGGAGAGGCGACGGTGGGGAGGAGGGAGAGGCGACGGTGGGGAGGAGGGAGAGGCGACGGCGGAGAGGAAGGAGGGGCGACGGCGGAGAGGAGGGAGAGGCGACGGCGGAGAGGAAGGAGACGGCGGGGAGGAGGGAGAGGCGACGGCGGAGAGGAGGGAGGGGCGACGGCGGGAGGAGGGAGAGGCGGCGGCGGGATGGGAGAGAGCAGCGACGGCGGCTGGGAAGGAGGGAGGGGCGATGGCGGGATGGGAGGGAGCGGCGACGGCGGCTAGGAGGGAGAGAGACGCGATGGCGGGGTGGGAGGGAGCGCGACGGCGGGGTGAGAGGGAGAGGCGACGGAAAGGAGTAAGGGATAGCTAGACGGTTGGTAAGGCGCGACTGCAGGATTGGGTGGGAATGGGCGGATTTGGAGGGAGAAGCAAGAAGCAAGAACCAAGAAGCAAGAAGCAAGAATCAAGAAACAAGAACCAAGAAGAGACGAGAGTCGAATTGGAGCTGACAGGTGTGAAAGGAAAAAAGTACACTTCTTCTCATTACAAGACTAGAAATATGTTGAGCCGATTTACTTATAAATTTGCTAAGGTGACTGTATCGTTAAGCTGTCACTCTGGCTTTATGATTTTCTTGAATAAGGCTCGCAAAAAACGAGACATCACACTTTCAGAATCACTAGGCAAGAATAATTGAAAGGAGAGAGGGTTTGAACTAGCAGGCAGTTGAGTACAAATAGCAAACCCTAGATTGGGCTGTACTCGCTATAGAGTACCCCACTGCAGGCTAGACAATAATAGCATTCTGACACACCCCCATAGCCAAAGTGGGGTGTAATCAGCAGAGCAAGCAAAGCAGTACAAGCTCAGGGTGGATCACAATGTCACCACACATTCTGAGCACAAGTTCAAGAAGCAATAGTTTAAAGTTCACAGTTATGAGCAAAGCTAGAGGCAGTAACAGAGGGCAAGCGAGGAGGAGGAGGGCTGGCGAGAGGAGAGAAGATGAAAGGCGCCGACTGAAGCTGCAGACACACGGGCAACAGGAGCGGCGCGCACAGTGGCTACCGAGCGCACGAGGGCACCGGACTACGGGAGTATCTGGCTCCGCGGCTACGACGAGCACACACAGGAGCAACGGACCCACAGGCGACTGGCGAAGCAGGCTCGCTGGGCTACCGAAACGCGCGAGGGCATCCGGACTACTGGCGCTGCTGGCGTCACGACGGCTACCTCCACGCAATCTCCCCCGACCGTCCCACGCCCCTCTCACACACCCCCTGCTGACACCCTAGCTCCACTCCGACGGTACCCCCCTTAAACCCCAAACCCTAGGCTCCCACACACCACCCCCCTCAGCGGCAGCTGTAGCAGAGGGAGACGAGGGAGGAGGAGGAGCAGGGGGAGGAACTCACAACCGACACCCCCATAGCCGCCACCCCCACACTCTTCACCCCCAAACCCTAATTTAGGAGAACGGGCTGTAGGAGGGGTGAGGCGCCGGTAGAAGCACGGGGGACAGTGGAGAGGGCAGGAGCAGCGAGGAACGGGCCGCCCACGGGCCTGGTAGAGCCGCCCGAACCGCGCGCAGGCGGCCCGAGCCGCGCGCGGGCCTGGCGCTTCCCGTACGGGCCGCGCGCGTGCCTGGCGCAGCCCGTACGGGCCGCGCGCGGGCCTGGCGCAGCCCGTACGGGCCGCGCGCGGGCCTGGCGCAGCCCGTACGGGCCGCGCGCAGGCCTGGCGCAGCCCGTACGGGCCGCGTGCCGGGTGTACGGGCCGCGCGCAGGCCACGACGGGCGACGGGGGGCGACGCGCGGGTCCCCGTCGCCCGTCGCAGCGCCTCCCGGGGGCGACGTGCCGAGTGACGGGGCAGGAACCCGCCGCGCGCCTCGGGGCACACGGCGGGCAGAGAACCGCCGCGCGCCTCGGGGCGCACGGCGGGCAGAAAACCGCCGCGTGCCTCGGGGCGCACGGCGGGCTGAAAACCCTAGTTTCGACGCCGCGCGCCACGGGGCGCGCGGCGGACAGGGAGTAGCAGTAGCAGTAGCAGTAGCAGCGGAAGGCTTAGGTGGTGGGCCCACCCACAGGATCGACCCAGGAGGGTCGACCTGCTCTGAATACCATTTCAGAATCACTAGGCAAGAATAATTGAAAGGAGAGAGGGTTTGAACTAGCAGGCAGTTGAGTACAAATAGCAAACCCTAGATTGGGCTGTACTCGCTATAGAGTACCCCACTGCAGGCTAGACAATAATAGCATTCTGACACACACTTCGATTTGCTGCACGTCTGATCGAATCTGTCACATTTCGATCTATCTCTCCGCCACAGCCGATCTCTCCGCCATGGCTCTTCCTTCGAGCAGAACAATGTCTAAGCTAACAGTGTCAGTCTCAGGTTCTGGAACCATTTTCGGGGTCTACGCTTTGAGAGCTTCATTTCGACACCAAAATTATGTTCATACCGAGAACAGCTGGTCGTCGTTACTACTCAAGCAAGATCCTTCATACCAGTCAACGAGCTGCTCACTTTCATGTCATTGCACTGCCTGTTCCAAGAGAGTCACATCGGCCGCAGCGCGACGTCCAGGATGGAGATTAAAAACAGGTGCAACCCGAAGTTGGAAGTTCAAGTATAAGGAGATTACTCGGCGAAATATTTTCAGGCTATCATCATTCTCAGAACTTCAACTGCAAGCAAAATATGATGAGGAACATCACAAGATTCATCGAGCAAGCATTACAGATCGCCTCAAGTCACAAGGAGATATGGCAGGGGTATTTCAAGAGAAACCTTTTTTAGGAATGGCTTCCGAAACTTCAGAAGTTCAAGATGTTTATTACGTGGACGAGAAAAAGGCAATGGAAGTCGAATCTCAGAAGTGCAAGGAGATTACTGGGCAAAATATTTCCAGGTCACAAAATGGTTTCTACCTGGACGACAAAAAGGCAAACGAAGGAGTTTCACCAACAAGTCGACTAGTTGCAAGAGACGTGAAACCGCAACCACGCGAATCAGAAACAGATTTGAAGAAAACAGGATTTAAGTCGCCTACATGTCCAGAAGTTGTCAGAGGTCCACTGGTGATCCCCGATTGATCCTAGGGAAGGGTTACAGGCACGTTGGCCTGGGGGGTTATGGGCGCACTCACCCGCTACACAAAAAAGCCCTTTTATCCCAGTGGTTAGTGACTGGGATTCTGACATGGTATCAGAGCGAAGGTCTCGGGTTCGAATCCCGGTGTGTGCACCTCGGGCATCCCAGTGCGGGGGGGTGTCAGAGGTCCACTGGTGATCCCCGATTGATCCTAGGGAAGGGTTACAGGCACGTTGGCCTGGGGGGTTATGGGCGCACTCACCCGCTACACAAAAAAGCCCTTTTATCCCAGTGGTTAGTGGCTGGGATTCTGACAGAAGTCACGCTTCATTCTAACATAGCTCATGAATCGGAAGACTACGAGCTTTTCATTGCTGGAATCTTTGAAGACGGCGGTTGGTTTTTTACTGAGAAGAGATATGACGACGATGGAAAGTTCCCTACGTTTCAAGAAGTCTACCTTCAATTTGAGGATAGCGACAACTACCTTTCTGCAAGCAGGCGCCATGAAACTGAAGTTACATTTCTCTCAAGAGAAGAAGATTTTGGAACAGAGGCAGCAGATGCTTCAACCATCCTTTCCCAGAGTCAGAGAAGTGCAACTGAGAGCGTGCAACTGCTCAAGCCAACCAGTGGTACACCAAGCCCAATCGGGCAAGATGAGTTTTTCAGGCGCCTAGTGTTTAAACCCCCATAATAGGTTGCGAGGGTACGGTACAGTGTACCCAGGCCCTACGGGGGCCAGTACATTGACCTAACCCCTCCCTAATCGGTTACGACCGTGATGTTTCGCATTGTATAATCTCATTATATAGTGCATTTTCACCTCCAAAAAAAAAATGAACTCGCATTTTTTGGAATGTACTCAATATGAGTTATTACAAATCAAGACAGTGCCACGTGGTTCAGTGCCCTCCGAAAACCCTCCACGCAATTTTCAAGTCAATTGCTGACGAAGCAGAAACAAGCAGGCAGAAACATGGAGAAAAAAACAAAGCACAAAGCAAATTCCCACAATAGTATATTGTAAGTGCAATACAGTAAGATGGATTTAAAAAATATTGTCCATTATAAACACAAAACATTGAGTGTTCAAATAGTTCTCACAGAAGAATCACTAAGTAAAAAAATTCTGCATACCTGCTATATTTTGTTAAAGAGGAATTACGCAGTTTATTCCATTTTAACCAAATAACACGAACATTATAATTTGATTTACATCAGTAAATTTAAATGTTTTCCATCATAATGTTTCTTATACGAGGATACAACTCTACGCAACCCATCCGACGTAAACGTCGAACCTTGTTTATGGTCGAATTGTGGTGCACGGTGTTATGAATGAACTTGTCAGAGTGCGCAGATATCGAATAACGAGAATGAGAATTACAGAATGACGAAACAATGAAGTAGCGAGGCCTAAATAGGGGAAATCCTAGCTAGGCGGGGAGGTGGGGAAAGGTTGGCTCGCGAAGTGTCGCGATTGGTGCGGAGGCGGCTCGGTGAGGTTTGGATGCGAAATTGTAGGCCGAACCAGTTGGTCGCGTGGCCCTCGGGATGGCCTCGCTAACGAGTGCCTCAGTAAGGATTTGTAAATCCTTACACTCTCCCACCTCCTAAATAAGGCAGCTATGAACTGAAATGAGTCCCACAGTAGCGAAGAGCCGTTCATCTTCACTGCAGCTGAATCCGACGGTTGAAAAAGTCTTTGACAATATTTTTGAAAAAGTTGGAATGTAGGCCGTTGATGTAGTCGGATTTCGATCTGACGGTCGACGATGAACTGGCCCAAAATGAAGTGGAAGTTGGAATGTGGGCCGTTGATCGAGCAGGTGCGAATCTGACGGTCGAGGCAGATGCGATTTTGGAGGGAACAGACTGACGCGAAATTCAATCGCGATCAATCAGGAACCGTCGATCGTGAAGCAGCAATCGCAGTCGTCCGTCGTGCTGCCGCATTCTGACAGAGTCAGAAGAGTACCGAAGAAAACGCCGAAGGAAAACAGTGCAGCGCACTATCTCCCCCCTTTCAGAATAGCTAGGCAAGAATGATTGAACTAGCAGAAGTTTGGGTACAAATATGAAACCCTAGTTGGGGTTGTACCCCATATTGGCTACCCCACTACAGCCTACAAGCATAATACAGTTTAACACACCCCCATAGGCAAAGTGGGGGAGAACAAAGGGTCACAAGACCAGTCCAGCAAAGCAAAGCAAAGCCCAGGGTGGATCACAACGTCACCACACTCCGAGCACAAGTAAAGGCCACAAGGCC